TGTAACGTTCTCAAAATCTTCGCGACAGGCACAAATGCAGAAGAAGTAGAAACTTGAAACGCGGGCTACAGCGAAAACATTGCGTGACATGTTTAATCCAGTTGCGTTACACACGCACAAAAACTTAGCAGCAACAAAATATGGCGAGAACAGTTTCTCGAAAAATCGGTTGGCTTCGGGTAACAGCGCCTTTTCCACTGATGTACTGCCAAAGTGAGACGGGCGAATTCGTGCAGTGCTCAGTTAATAATAAGAAAATTCTACTTTGACCCTTGGGCTATTATCCCTTTCAAACTGACATCCGGTTTTGTCAAAGTCTATATTACCAGCATCCTTGCAATCTTTTTGCCACATAGCTATACATAGCCTGCAGCTGGAGAAGTAAACGAAAAGGGCAACGTTCGGTTGGACAAAACTAACTCCCGATGTCCAAATCAAACTAATACATGTACAATATACTTTTGTCGTGACTCTTCGAAACTGATCTTTCTAAGTTGGTCCCCAGCTGTCAAAGTTATGTATCTTGCATGAGGGCAGAATATAATTTATGAATGAAGCGTTACACTCCATTGATCGCATATTAAGTCAGCTCACAACTGACATTAACAATTCTAAATTCCTCCAGACAAATTATCAGAAGAATTTATAAGCTCCTGATTATAGCTTAAACTACAAAACAGAAGCGCAAGAAAATGAAAGTAAAGTAAGGCCAGTCAAACAACATCCTGTGTTCCAAAAGCAAAGCTCCAATTTCGACCAAGCGGGCGAAGTATGCATGTTTTGTACCAAACTGTACACAAAAGTTTAACGCCTGGAACATTCGAACTCCACACCAGGAAAGTTATGTCGTTGTTGCTAAACGGTTTGCTAATGGAGTAATGGTCAAAGCTGCGTGTACTTACCCGAAATTCTAAGAAGACAGGCGCTTGAAATGATCAGCACAGTAAGCTCCATTCAAAGGATAAAAACTCTGGAATCCGTCAGACTAATACCGAGTCACACTAGCGATCAACTAGTGCTGTATCGTCTGCACACGACGTGTTAATTCGTGGCACGATCTCTTGCTTCCTAAAGTGATCTTGCATCTGGTTAAAGGGCAAGATTACTATCAGTGATATCCGTGTGTTGAAGACGCATTAAACGAACACTCGCTGATAGCAGGCTATCATCAAACTAGAAGCGCCGCCAAAGAATCTTGTTTTGTTTGTGACGCGATTGTTCGGAGAACTCGTCACGGACGGATGGAGCCCCGGATATAAATACACCGTACAGGCCAATAATCGATACTTACGACATCAAAAAATCGCAACAAATACTTCTTGAAATAACTGGAAAAGGCAACTCGTTGAAACGGGAAATAAATCAGTAGAGGAAATATTATTTTTTCGAGGAAGTGTACCGGTATGGAAAAGGAGAAGTTAAGTACGCTATATGATGAAGGAATACAATTGCTACTGACGTAAAAGTGAGGGAAAGCAATTTAAGTTCTTGAAATTCCATATTTACTTTAAAAATAACATGGAGGAAAGATATGCACGTATTTTTGAACGTACGTGTGGACATGCACTGTCACAGTTACAGGCTATGAACTTCTGAGCTAGTAATAGCCTCGCATGAATTTCAATTTGTAGTGACTAGAATCTTTCGAAAGCAAATTTCGAATATTAAAATATTGGGGTTTTGTGACGCTTCAATAGGTTTCTTTTATTTTCTGATTTCTTTATCTTTGTCTTGAAAAACAAAATTAGTAACATCTCGCGCTAAACTAAGTGTTGTTAAAGTAAAGGCCGAACAAAACAAATTGAATCGAAGCTGATTGAATTGGTTTACTCTCAAATTTGCAAATAGTCGATAACCAGGCGATAATTATAAAAAGACTTATCGTTCCCATGTAGTGCCTGCTTTTCTATACTTTTCATAGATCTGCTTCGTCCTCACTGAGCCACCGTCGCATTTCACAGCGCATTTTCGTTTGGCGGTTTGGGCGTGCCGCATCATTGAGTCCGGCTTTAGTCTTGCTCCTTCCTTGATGCGGCTTGGTGCACTAACAATAACGGTGAATTGTAAGTATCTTTGTCTTATGGTTGTAAGCTGTAGAGCGGAGCTCGTTGATTGTAAGAGTCTAAAACTCTGAATGGCCGAGAAATTTGGCTATATAACAACCCGGAAGAGGTGAGTATACAGCTTCAGGAAGAGGCTGCTAAGGTAAGACTCATTCGTTATGCACGCTGTCAAATAAACATTACAGCTGTTTTTTAACTTGGAAATTTGTATTTTGCAAGTTGTATGTGTGGAGCGATATTCACTCATCTGCTCCTGTGCTCGTTCGCTTCTAGTTAGACATTACGAGCATCCGCTGCCCAGCGCATAAGGTTTTCGCACAGTCGCTCGCGCACTGAAGGAGTGCCGAAGTCAAGTTGTTCAAGATGGAGAGGGTGAAAACGATTTCCTCAACGAGTTATTTGGTTTGTTTTTAATTTGTTGGCAATGTTTGTCACTGATTTGTTCTTTGCATTTCTAAGGCGACTGAGTCAATAATAACTGAGTGCAAAAATAGTCCAAATGAAAGTATTTTCACATAAATGACCTGTGTCTATTTTAAACTGCCATAAATCGTAATAAATAAATGCCCTTCTATATCGCTTCTAGTGTTTATAACTACGGAGAATTATAGAACTTAATTATTAACTACTTATTAACCGAGAGTGACGTCTTAATGGGAAAATCTGAAAGCTTCTCAGCAAGAACGTGTGCCTAGTGCCTGTAATTGGTACAGCGCAGTGAAAGTAGTATTTAATGCCACCTCCCCCCCTCCCCGCTCGCCGCCGCAATATTCCGCTCAAAACCATCTATATAAGGTATTAGCCGTTAGATTGGTTTGTCTATGGTATTAAGTTCTACTATTGAAATTAATTGTTTTTCAAAGGAATGAACGTTTAACACGCCCTAAGACGTTGGATTACTTGAACAGGTCGGTCTTCTAACCCTAAGGATGAGGTGACAAATGCTTACACAACCTTTAGTTGAGATTAAATTAAAGGAGAACTTTATTAAGCAGTTTTTATCAAGAAGTCCAAGCTCAGTATTAACTACGCTTCGTATGATTAATTAGGGGTGAGCTCGTTATTATGAAGCTGGCATACTGAGCTTGGGCAACCTGTTGTATGTTAAGCAAACTTAATAAGATTCACATTACGATTCGAGAATGAAGTAGATTATTTCAGTTGACTAGAGCGACTTTCGTTACCACAAAACCTGTGTCAGAATTCGTCTGGGACGATCATGGCCACGAAGTAATCCGAAAACTAAGCACTTTTTTATAACTATTTTTCTCCTTGCTGCAAATTTATATGTGTTCCTTTTTTCTGGCGGAAATATTCTACTTAGCAGCCACCGAAGAACTCAAATTAAGGACTGGGTCAAAAACGTTTACTAGTAAAAATAATTGATTAATAGCATTTCTGAAGGCATAAATGGCAATGGAACCAAATTTAGCACACAGTAAAGTTTAAATGTCCTAAAAATTTTTGTGGAATTAGTGCTTTTAAACGGTCACGTGAGATGTCACGTGACGTTAAGTGGAAAAGAGCCCCAGGCCTTAAACTGCTTGAGCGGCAAACAACCTTGATACTAGTGTTCCCAAGCCGCAAACTATTAAGAAATGAGTGAGTTTGCAATTCAGCTATTTCTCTAATTGCTTTTATCGTCGTTCCTTCATCGTTTGTCTGGTCACGTCCACTGACTCAAAGGTAAACAGCTGTTGAAGGCTTTCTTTCCTTTTCTTTTCGTGGTATCTGAAACAGAAAATGATAGATTAGTATAAACTTATAAGAAGAACGCCATTAAATTATTTTGGCTGCAATAAACCGATCGATTGATAATAATAATTTACATATATATTGAGCAGGTTGCATGAATGTATGATCACTTCCGCATTACAAAAGTAAGCTATATCTTGCAAAAAAAAAAACGATTTTTTTTTAAATTCTCGAGATTCAGCCTTTATCGAGTAAGCAATTCATAAGCTTCAGGTTGATGATATGTTAAATCAGAGCGTTACAGGCTCAAAAATAAAATCGTCTTCTTGATTAAAAATGCGGCGCCTAAAGCGCGAATTCTTTGAGAACCAAATCTGTTCGCAACTCAATTAGGATAATTATCTCTTCCAAAAAAAAAAAAAAAAAAAAAAAAAAAAAAAAAAAAAAAAAAAAAAAAAAAAAAAAA